TTGTGTTCTCGAATGGATACAGTAGGTTCTTTATCTGTGGTTCGCCTCTTGTGCTTCAATTTTAACTATTTATTAAGGGCATAACTTACTCTTTTTATTATTCGTTATTTTTTATTTTAAGAAAGTATGCATGTATTGTTGTTGTGCTCCACTAAATGTGCCCTTCTCTACAGTGTAAGTCAATTGAACAGGCCACTGATTCAATTAAAGTGGCACTGTCATGCCGAATCCTGTTTTTTTTTTAACCCCCCTCCGGCCTCCACTATCTCTGACACCCTAGTCACCCCCAAATGCCCCTAAGTCCCCCACATTACCTATTTTTTATTCCTTATTTCCTGCCCCGATCTATATTCAGGGCGCAGCCATCTTTGTGTGGGTAGATGAAGTCCCTGTGGGACACGTCATCTGCCCACATTAGATAGGCTGTGAGATTCCCGCACATGCCCAGTGAAACACCTGGACATGCGAACGGGAATTTCATCTATTCATTCATTCATCAGACAGACGAATGAATGAATAGAAAAATCATCTGAACAAACAAACACTGTGTATCTGAGTATCAGTGTTTGTTTGTTCGTTCAGTTTATTACAAGGAGGGAGCTACCAGCACGCAGCTCCCTCCTTGTAATATGTAACTATAGAAGCGGCAGGCAGCAGTGCTCCCCTCCACTTCATAAGCTCCCTCAGGCCCCCCTCACTCTATGGGGGTCAATATGACCCCCATAATAGCATAAGGGAGAGTAAAATCTCCCCAATGCCCCTACTCGCTATACCGCGAGTAGGGGCATGTCCACTAAACAATGAGCAGCCCGTGGCTGCTCACTGTAAAAAAAAAAAAAAAAATTGGCCCCCACCCCTAAACGACGGGTGGGGGCCCTAAAGTAAAATAAGCGGGGGGGACCTAATCTTCCCCCCCGGCCCCCACCCCTGCGCAGCGGGTGGGGGCCAAATGACAATGAGGGGGGGGAACCTACTGTCCTCCCCCCCTCCGGCCCTCACCCCTGGGTGGCGGGTGGGGGCCATAAAGATAATGGGGGGGGGACCTACTTACCCTAAGTCAATTCTCCTCCCCCCCCAAGGTGACTAGGGGTCCTCAAACCCCTAGTCACCCACCCCCCACTCAAATAAAAAGTCCCTACCTACCCCCCCTCACCCTAAAAAATAGTGAGGGGGGAATAAAATAACTAACCTGTAAAATAAAATTAAACTTCCCATTCAACGTCTTCTTTTTTCTCACATCTTCATTTTTCAGCCCCAAAAAAGGCCAAAATAAAAAACCATCAGAACCGTCGAACTTAAAATAAAATAAAAATCCTGAGCGCAAAAAAAAAATCTGACAAAAAAGAAAAAAACCTGAGCGCAAAAAAATAATCCATCTTCACCCATGGAGGGCTCCACACAGGCTGAGCTCCGCAGTGCGGGGGAAAGCTTATAAAACCTTCCCCGGCCCTGCAATTAGGCTAAGAACACTCTGATTGGTGGGTTTAAGCCAATCAGAGTGCTCTTTGTCATTTTACACAGCGTGGGAAAATTCCAAAGAATTTTCCCACCTGTGTAAAATGACACAGAGCACTGTGATTGGATGGCTTGAAATCCATCCAATCACAGTGCTCTGTGTCATTTTACACAGGTGGGAAAATTCTTTTGAATTGATGGATTTCAAGCCATCCAATCACAGTGCTCTGTGTCATTTTACACAGCATGGGAAAATGCAAAAGAATTTTCCCACGCTGTGTAAAATGACACAGAGCACTGTGATTGGATGGCTTGAACTCCATCCAATCACAGTGCTCTGTGTCATTTTACACAGCGTGGGAAAGTTATTTTGAATTTTCCCATGCTATGTAAAATGACACAGAGCACTGTGATTGGATGGATTTCAAGCCATCCAATCACAGTGCTCTGTGTCCTTTTACACAGTGTGGGAAAGTTCTTTAGAATTTTCCCACGCTGTGTAAAATGACACAGAGCACTGTGATTGGATGGATTTCAAGCCATCCAATCACAGTGCTCTGTGTCCTTTTACACAGTGTGGGAAAGTTTTTTAGAATTTTCCCACGCTGTGTAAAATGACACAGAGCACTGTGATTGGATGGATTTCAAGCCATCCATTCACAGTGTTCTGTGTCATTATACACAGGTCGGAAAATTCTTTTGAATTTTCCCACTCTGTGTAAAATGACAAAGAGCACTCTGATTGGCTTAAACCCACCAATCAGAGTGTTCTTAGCCTAATTGCAGGGCGGGGGACCCCTAGTCACCTTGTGGGGGGGGATTGACTTAGGGCCCCCACCCGCCGCCCAAGGCTGGGGGCCGGGGGGTGGACAGTAGGTCCCCCCCATTATCATTATGGCCCCCACCCGCCGCCCGGGGGTGGGGGCCGGGGGGGAG